CAGTAACCCAAGTGGAGTCGTCTATAGCATCAAGGGATTTATCCTCAAATTTGCACGCTTGAATGTCTGAACGTACATAGATAATTGTACCGCCTCCTATTCCATAACATCTATCGGTTCTAAAGAAAAAGTAGTTATCTACATTCAAGGACTGATCGGATATAGATGAATTACACCACGTTTCCGTAATAAGTATCATATGGTTCTCTCCAAAACTTTCTTGAACTACTGTGAAACCCGTCGACGTTTTTCGGAAAAACCCCAAGATTATCCATTATTCTTGAAGGCCTACCGACATTATAACAAGTGCTCACAATTTACTAAGCATATATTCGTGTTTTCTTTCAGTTAACTCCGCCAAATAAATGCGATTTCAAGTAAGCTTATTTTGTCAGCATCTGCAATAAAGAACGCGATAGATAGGTATTGCTGCAGTTAGAAGACTGATACGTTGTAAATGACATTGTATGTCGGAGTTTTAAAAAAAGTACAAGTAAATCACCTTTCACAATCGACGTCTTCGATTTTTTAACAATTGCTGCTACATTTCCGTTTCGCACATCAGGTTGATGTCGAATCGTCATTCAAAGTATTCTAACAAAAAATTACTCTTCTGAATTACAAAAGCAGTATCAAAACAGCCGAATCGCTCATAGTAGACAGATGAATGTCGCATCAATAGTCTAAATTAGGAATCCATAACGCCATCTGAAACGTTAATTGCGTACCAATGGTACAATATAGTTTGCTGAACAAAAGACTTACAGTGAGGTCCGTTAGTACTAGCGAAGCCAGCTGAAAATAAGATAGGCAGGCAACAATTATTTGAGTATAAATGTTTACAAGAAACTAGTACAGAAACAGATATTCAATTACAGATCGAAAGTACATTTAGCTTACCCTTTCTTTGGATCACCATCCACGCCTACTTACTTTATTTCTTGCATTATGTAAGAAAGTCTGGCTCGTAACATCAATGGCTTACGTCATTTCTTTCTCTGAGAAGATTGTGCTTTGGAACCGTGATCACAGAACATCTATAAATATATTAAAACTATAGTGTGAACTAACTTTGAATCCTCCTGCACAATCCGTAATTACTGATGCCTGTTTTACGTTTAGTCCCTCGTATGGTATAAGTAGCTGCCGAATCCAGTGTCAGCACTTAAGCTAGACACGTTTTGGTTGACTATTGCTGTACCTGTCCTACATATCCATAGACGAGCTTTTGATGTAAGCAGGCAGTTTGGTCATCTTGTCAGAAAGATCACTGACTGCTTCCAGAATCATTTTGGTGTCATCGCTGTGCAACATTTGACTATCATGTTACGACTACTCAAACTTACGGGTTACTAACTGCAGTTGAACCCAATGGGGGGGTGATAAGAACACCTGTTTCAGATTAACTGCTTTGTGACTATTTGCTCACTGGATACTTACTTAGCTATAGGGGAAAAGTTCTCATACAAAATGTTGACAACAAGAAAGTAGACTGTGACGTATGTGACTTGCATTTTAGCAACCTCTAGTTCATCAAGGGTGCATAAGTAGTCCTTCATTGTGTATGTAACAGACCAGAAAATGAATGAATTGCGTACGTTTACCGATTTACCTCTTCGGCTTCTCGGTTACGCCTGGTTGCGTGTCTTCCTCATGTGCATTTGTACCCGAGTACTTCAGTGAATGGTCCTTTTAGTCTCTCGAATATATGGTAGTCATTTGGCAACAATGGTTTTAAAGCGATGACGGCTTAACATCGCGATGCAATAACGTGTATTTTCCCATGGAAAAGCGACCAATGAATATGATCAAGAATATAGGTCAAAGAAACATTACCCATGTAAACAAACAATTGCTTGTTCGGAACTCGTTTGATGATGACTAAAACTTGTTTCCTTTTCCTGTCGTTAACGAGACTGGATTGTCCGGATCGAGGCTATAAATCAATGGAGAATCGTTATAAGACTTTCGAATTATTGCACTTAAAAACACCAGAACATTCATCATAGGTTGCTAGTGAACGATGCCGAAGCACTAACCAACATGCAGACCTACAACACTAAACTTTTATATTTACAGCAGGCCTCGGGAAGTGATGTCACAATATTTATGGGAATGTGTGCAAGCGATGAATGATTACCTCATAATGTTGTGTGGGGATACAGATACAGTAGAAAAGTATATGTCAGAGCACTCCACGTACAGTCTTGGCTTGCAAGAGAGACTTAAATATGTGTTTGTAGTACTAGAGGGAAAAGAGTCAATAAGGAAATACAAAGGGTTTAAAATGCCTTAAACCCAATCCTGCTGCCCTCAACTTAGGTTCGCCGTTTGCAATCACAATGTTGTCGCCTGCTTCATTTTCATTTACTGGATTGCAAGTGTGTTCGTTAGTGAAAGATAAGCTGTGCTTCCTCACAAACTCTACTATTAGCTTCTTCAATCTTTTGTAAAAAGTCGATCGAGAGCACCCCATCGAGTTTGGCACTCTCTTGGCTGTAACCCATCTGTAATCCCTTTTTAATTACGTTCTACACTATTTGTCTAAAACAAAGCTGTATTCAGGCTGGATAGGAGTAGTAGTCGACGTTTCTGACAGTAACAACAACTCATCTGCATGGCGTTTTTAGCACGTACTATCAGCGTTTACTTGGAGGAGCGGAGATCTGAAACAACAGCACAAATGTTAGCATCGGTGAATGCCTCGAGAAAAACGACGCGACGTACTAGTACAACATACAAATTTCAAAAATCTGTTGATGCTGTTCGGGTGCGAAAAATAAACCTTATTACGAGGAAGTCTCATCCATCATTCTGGAAGTTTATTTTGCGTAGAGCTTGTTCGTCTTCATTCAGTACGTTTTCCCTTTGTTGCCCTGCAATGAGAAAAACAGAGTCACGTTAATAACGTCACATGTAACTTATTTGAGAAATAAAAACTATATGAGTGATGGTCGGCAGTGATAGCCTTTTCTTCCCTCTTTCTGAACATATACAGGAACTGTATATAAAACCACTTGGAAAGCAAACACTTAGTTGTTTCTAATTTCCACAAACAGTTACCTTTTAAAATTATTAATATGCCTTCCCATGAAACTACAAAGAAGACAAAAATAAAAATCTGGAAAAAAGTTTATTGGTGCATTATTACTACTGATAAGTGAAGAAAAACATCTGATGCAGAAAAATATGTTGAAAATATAACCACAAAAAGCTTCTTATAGTAAACCGTTCCTGTCACATCTCCATAATTTCGTACATTCCGAGCCGTGTTTTTTTATCATAAAGAAGACTACGCAAAGATGTGTTAAAGAAACTAGCGTCTTACACATTTATGATTCCTGCGTAAAAATTCTTGAATTTTCTCTCCGGTAGCATCGCTTACCGCTTACCATCGCTCACCATATTCCTCAAAAACCTGTTTTGTGCATTTATTGGCTTCGCTGAATCTGTCATACTGTTTCATTTGCCTAGGAATTGAAATTGTTGTGTTATTACGGAACAACGTGAAACATACTTGTATAACTTAGTTGTTGGGAGTTGAGATTTCTTAGTCTTCACATCAACACCAGTAACCTGCTTACCAGTTACACCCCTAATACTTTCCACTACTCCGTCCATCGATTGTGATCACCAGCCAAAAACATTATCTTCGAAGGACAAACTTCTAATACATGGATCACAAACCATCAGTGAGCAACTTGAATGATTTTACATGTTATTATTCTTACTACTATCAGTACACCTGTCTTCCTACTATAATCTTGTACTTTTACCTATTATGTATGGTGACTGATTCTATTTCATTGTGATAATCGACCTAAACTACCTTGATTGGTTTGACATTTTCGCATAAACATGTTACTTAACGTGCAAAGTTACGGGGAACACTAGTTGACAGTTCAGAAAATTAAACGTTAAACGTCACATGTTACTTAAAGTTCCCACTGTTTTCGATTCATTGTTAGACCTTGTGGCTTACTCTGAAGATGTCACAGGTAATCGGAGTTTGACAACGCTCTAACCAGTAACACATTTTATGAATCGTACCCACCAAATGAAATCAAAAGACAGAAGCGGGGAAGTTTGAAGATATATTTGATAGGCTATCAGTATATCGAGGAACGTCTGATCTAATCTGGTTAGCGATTGCAGGGGATATTGAGCACGGCGTTCCCACTCGTGATCTGGTGCGGATGCATGACTGAGCGCCTTCAACTAGGTGAGTCCATTAAAACTAATGTGGTCAACATCCAATGTGGAACACTTGCAGAGCTATTTATTTTGGGGACTTATTTACCGCTACAACCCATACGACCAAGTGTGCATTGAAACACCATAAACATGAATTTAAACCTCGTTTTCTCCAGTAATTTACTTTCGTCATGGACGTCATGGGTATGGATAGTCCGAGAAGGGATAAAATTACCGTCTTATGCTCTTTGGAACTAATCTTTCGCACACTATCGAATTCAGTTCAGCTTCCGAAACGCCTGTTCAGTACTATACGCTGAGACGCTTCGCTTACGTCGACTGAGATATCTCTTGAACATTAAGTGCTACGAACAGTACTAAGTAATCCTGAAACAAAGTAAAACGTCAATACTTTCAATAGTACTTTGCTAACTGCACGAATTATTACTAACATTTAAGGTGAGAGCTTAAAACTTGCCGGTTATTTGACATTTCGTCTTAAATTTCGTGTAACATAGCGATCATAACAAACTCCGCGTATCTAAAACTGTTAAGTTATTCTTATTGCGTTGTCTTCTGGACCTTATAAAGTTTCAAACAAAAGGTGAAGTTCAGTAGAATACCTGGTATCCCAGATCAATTTATGGAGCAACAATCTAGCTAACGTGTCCAAAACAGAAAAAACTTGAGTAATGTTTTTCTCACTAATTTTGTGATTTCACTGTAACAAAAGACTACTTAAATATGAGAACACTTGATATTCATGTAACTCAACAGACGTCCAACAAACCCACAGCAATTGAAATGCGGGATGACCGCCGCATACCAAGCTGTTCAAGGTCGTTGGGATGAAACGGCGGTTAACTTTGAGTGGGCCTGGCTCTATCATTCTCCCCTTAACATTCAAGTAATGGCTCACCCCATTGTTGACGAACGTCTTGGGAAAGATTACCCAAAAGAGCTGTTGTTACAAAAGCATTTGAAGTTCTTAGTTAGATGCAAAAGTGAGAATGACAGCACTTTAGACTATTGCAGAATGTCTGGAATCTACTGGGTTCTTACTGCTCTCGACTTGCTCGATGCGCTGTCAGAAGTAGATGAAAATGAAATAGTTGAATTTGTACTGAGTTGTCAGAAAACGTGTGGCGGTTTCGCTCCGTGCCCCAAACATGATGCACATCTGCTCTCAACCTTAAGCGCTATCCAGATACTTGCAATGTATGATTGCTTAAACAGAGTGAATGTTGAGGCCGTGTGTGCATTTGTTTCCAAATTACAGGTGAGGTGTGTTCGAATCTAGAAATTTCCTTTAATGCTCGTATTTGTTACATTTACGTTCTTCAGCACTGTCTCATAATGAGGCATTATATATATATATATATATATATATATATATAAGAAAGCGTTCTAATACTCTATTCCTGTGGTACTATTTTGTGATTTGCTGGACCCATAAAAAATTATTTGCGGCTAGAAATCTCATGGCTTTCAAAAGGAACGGATATACCTGATATTAGGGTCTATGTGAACAGAGTTATCTCACGTCGTAGTTTGAAGAAATGCATTTTATCTTTCTAAATTTTAAACTAGTCGTTCAGTGAGTTGTGTTGTTTAAGACAACACAATTTCTTGCTAGGCTTGTTACTCCTTGTGGGGCATAGGCCGCCAACTAGGATTATCCGACCAACCCAGTCCTGGGCTCTTTCTAGTTACTCCCCTGTGTTATTCATCCTTCCTATGTCTGCCTCCAGCTCTAAATACACTATGTTCTTTGATCTCTTACCTTCTGATCTCAGGATTTCAACTTGGGTCTTGCCATGCGATATAGTTAGACGACTTCCGCAATGTATGTCCTGCCCGTCTACTTATTTATTTATTTAAACACAAACGTAGGTACGATGAGGCTCCAAATACATATGCGCCATACCTCGTCATTCGATTTGTATGAGGGGTGGGGTACTGCCCGGATATCCGAACGGGATCAGGTGATCTTCTTACGGGGCCACTCCCCGAGCATTTGACCTAGAAGTCGAGTCCTACCCATCTCTAGCGTCTTTTCCTAATTTCCTTTTCAGCTGAGAGCTGGTATGTTTTCTGCCACAGTTGGTTATTCCTGATGGCATCTGGATAATGGATCTCCAGTATCTTGCGTAGACAACTGGTCATATATATCCGTACTGTTTTATGATGATCGTGACAGTTCTGCAAGTTTCAGTTTCGCACAATAGAAGTCTTGACGTTTGTACTAAATATTCTGACTTTGGCGTAAGCTGACAGTAGTTTCGAGTTCCATATATTCTTCAGTTGTAGGAATGCTACCCCTGCTCTGCCAATCCTTGCCTTCACATCTGCATCAGATCCTCATTGTTCATCGATGACGCTACCCAAGTACATAAAACTTACCACCTCCAGAGCTTATTTATCAAGTGTGGTTTCGTTGGTGTTCATTGTATTGTATTTTAAGACGTCATTTTTCATTTGTGAATATTGAGGCTCACTACTGCAGGGGCTGCTGCTACATTGGCTGTCCCACCTACATTTGTTGGTGTGTAGAGGATGGAAGAGTTAGGTCATCTGCGAAGTGAAGATCGTCTAGTTGCATCCAAGCTGTCCACTGTATTCCGTGCTTACCCTCAGATGTGGAGGTTTTTATAATCCGTTTGATTACAAGAAGAAAGAGGAAGGGAGAGAGTAAGCAGCCTTGACTGACACCGGTTTTCATTCGGAATGCATCTCTCCATGCACAACTTTACAGTGTGCACCGTCGCATGAATTTTGTATTATATTGACGATCTTTCCAGGCACACTATAGTGTAGAAGAAGGTTCCATACGTTTCTCCTATCTACACTGTCAAATGTTTTTCCATAGTCAAGGAAGTTGGTGTTTACTGGCGAGTTCCATTCAAATAATTGTTCAACAATGATCTCGTGTCGCAATTCGGTCTGTTCACTACCGTTCCACACAGAATGGAACCTGTTAATCTCGAAGTTGGGCGTCTACTTAATCTTTCATACGGTTCAGCAACACTGTTGGAAACTTCCCCTGATACTGATAGTAGTGTGATGCCTCTGTAGTTGAGATCCCCTTTCTTTGGTATCTGGTGGAGTATCCTTCTTCCCAGTATTTTCGTACAATGCCATGATATTTGAGATGCGTTTCTCCCTCATTGAATGCAAATTGTTGCTTCAGGACTGCACCAACACCTGAACTAAAGATTGTGAATGAAGTAATCGAACGCGTTGAAAACTTCACTTATCTTGAAAGTCTGATCATCCATAATGGGTTGATGTCTGACGAAATCCCTGCACGGATTTAAAATGCTTTGTCTGACTTTCGCCAACCACCTATGGCAAAGGCGAGATATCCGTCGATCAATTGAAGGACGAGTATACTGTGCGGTAGTTCCTTCTGTTCTGCTTTACGGTTGCGAAACGTGGCCATTAAGGTTAGAGGACACTCGTTAGTTATATTTAATCACAGATGTCTTGGAAATTGTTACTCGCATCTGCTAGGACCACCGGGTAATTAATAGTGAGGTTAGACGCAAGGTATTAGGCAATGATGGTAAATCAATTGATGAGGTTGTGAACCTTCATCGACTGTGATGGTTGGGCCACGTATTACGTATGCCCAACCATCGATTACCACGGCGAGTAGTGCTGACTAGTGTTGAAGAAGGATGAAAGTTAGGGATGATCAAACCAAAGCGTGTCATCGGTCTATAAAGTCACTAACTTCTGGTTTGAGCCATGTTGGTAGATGCAAAGTGCTTGGTTGGGGTCTGCGCGGCTATCTTAACCAGTGGTTGGAGATCCTGGGCGACATAGCTCAGAATCTATCACAATAACGTGGGTGTATACACTTTGTCTCCTCTTAAACCGTGAGATTAAAATTACATTATACGTTTCTCTCTACAAAGTAATTCACCCTTCCTGTATAATATCTTTTTATGCAGTCTTTTTTGTATTACTACCATTGAAGTAACTACTATGAATTTTATATTCATCTTGTTGTGCTAATGAGGTTTGGTAACTTAAACCGATGCATATGTGCCTGATCCTACGTTGTAAATGATTGACTGACTGTTCTTCCTCTCCGGTCTTCCTGAAGAGAGTGTGGAGGACCTTTGTAGTTACTTCTATAACTAACTTCAGCTGGTATGTTGTTTGACAGTACAATATTATTATCTAGAAAGTCGATTCACTTCAGATATTCCTTTAACAGAAAGCAGTAAATGGCTTAATAATGAAATTAAAGCGTACGATGTTGCCAGTAGTGCAGAGCTAAGTACGATCTTGTAGCATTTCACCTCTACTTGTGATAACTGACGAGTCTATCCTGTCTTGTAGATACTTTCCAAGCACATTGGCCATAATGAGTGTATATTGAAATCAAACTTTCCTGGTGTTAATTGGAATAATTCTATATTTACCATCTGATAAATGACGGGGTAGCATCTTGGTTGGAAGTTCAGAAACGGTTTGTAGCCCTCATATGTTCTAGGACTTCTTATCTCCTTTGACATTTAATTCCACACTTAATTAGTAGATCGATGTTTTCGGTTTTCTCATTAATATAATAACTGTGTTAGTCACCTAGAAGCTATGTGTACAAGTGACCGGAATGTCAACATTGTAGGACAGGACTTTTGTGATTAGTAAATTCTTGCTCTCTTCATTAATTAGTAATATCACAATCACATGAAGTTCAAGCTCTAAAACATCATCGTTAACTATTTCACATATGATTATGGTGAAGGAAAATTGGGGTTGTCTATTTGGATGAAGCTAATTTCACTAAAATCCACTGTATTAACTAAAATTTATCATGATTTTATTCGTCTAACAAGTAAAGAGTTGGTTTTAAGGAACATGCTAGGGATTTGATACTGTTCTTCCCATCCTTCTTAGTCCAACTGTGTTTTTAGTCATTGACATACTCATTGCTTACCCTTCATCTCTGTTTGGCGAATGAGTTTTTTCTTCAAATTGGATGCATCTAGCCATTTGCATCATAACTTTGTGTTAATAAATGTCCTTTATGTTTTGACAGCAACCAGATGGAAGTTTCGCTGGAGATATTTGGGGGGAAATTGACACTCGGTTTTCATTTTGTGCCGTTGCTACACTGCATATAGTTGGAATGCTTTCCAAAAATACTATCGACATCGAAGCTTGTGCTTCATACCTTGAAAAGTGTCAAAATTTAGATGGATGTTTTGGAACTCGACCTGGAAGTGAATCTCATGCAGGTCAAGCATATTGTGTCGTGGGAGCTCTGGCTATACTTCGTCAACTACATCGATTAAATATAGACCGTGCTGCTTGGTGGCTAGCCGAACGTCAGCTTCCTAGCGGAGGTTTAAATGGAAGACCGGAAAAACATCCTGATGTGTGCTATTCATGGTAAGATTAGCAGTAATTTTACTTGAACGAATTGTTATCCATTTATGCTTTGTACAATATTCCGAGGTACTTATGGGATGTGTATTTCAAATTTTCAGCTGTGAATCTTATGTAAAGTATCTACCCATTACATATATTAGGGGGATAAACGGTTAGACAGATGTATAGGATAATATATAATTGCTCTTAATTGTAGTTATTTGTGCATTCTTCATTGAAACTACTCAATTGTTGTAATACGCATATTTACAAAAAATATGTCAAATTTATGGACACCAGGTTTTATTTCAGTATTTGGTTTGAATTAGCTAATCGTAATGTCACTCGTCAAGCATGGACTGCACTCTGGTTTTAGTTATATTACTTCTATAAGAGGTTATGATGTTATTTGGCCGTCCAAACTGAAGTAAGATGGAATGCGAATCTGAAACTTGTTGTCAACTGCTGTAACCTGTTAATTACAACTTCACTGTTTCATAATATCAAAGGTCACAAAAGTGTAAATTAATATAGGAACAGTCGGATTTCTTGGTTATGTTATATCATTTAACAGAGAAGTGGCGTATGAAATGCACAATCAATTTCCTCATTTTACAAAACAAATGGAATAAATCTAGAATAGTTTAATGATACTCCGAATGTCGATATTTTTGATATAGTTAAGAGCGTTTTGGAATATCATACAAATCCTTACTGATGCAATGGAAGACAGCGATTTCTCGCCATTTTGTTTGAGTTCGGTTTCTTGCTAATCTTTACGTCAGTTTTGTTTGCGTTTGCAATACCGAATTTCGTATCATATCAGGCTCATCTTTGTACTTTGATATTTTGTAGGTGGACTGTAGCTACTCTTACTATATTTGGTCGTTTGACATGGATTAACCAGACTGACCTTACTCGGTTCATTTTGGCTTCTCAAGATGACCAGACTGGCGGTATAGCAGATAAACCTGGAAATATTCCTGACCCATTCCATACTTTATTTGGTCTTGCTGGTCTCTCTTTATTAGCCCAGGTCGACTCATATTTCTCCTCACCAAGGAAAATGGAAAATGGAGTAAGTGGTGGTGTAGAAGATCCAGCCTTTGTCGCTTTACAAATGGCTAGAAATAAGTTGAAGACTATTAATCCAGTATTATGTATGCCCCAATACATAATAGATCGATTGCAGCTCAAATTTCAACTACTGTAAATATTTTCTACCTACTGCAGACTTATGTTGTATTTTAAGTTTTTTCTACTGGCTCTAAACATTTCATCCTACTACTTGAAGCTTATAATTGTTGCTCTTAACAAAATTGTGGTTCAAGTGTACTGCTGATCAAAGCGTTTGGGAATCAGTACTTTAATATATTGTAATGCGTACTTCTGACATCCTCAACATCAATCTGTTTGTGGTCTTTCGTTATTTGTACAGTCCCTGTGATGTTCTTTTAAAACATACCTCTTGTAACAAAATTTTCAAAACAAAGATTTTGTATTTTTTCTTGTTTTTAATTAGAACCAGCTAAACACTTCAATTAAAGTTAACAGGAAACCATCAGTAGTCGTGTATGTATGACCAAGTATCCTCCTGTGTATGCTTCGTGATAGTATTACTACTGATGGAATAGGATTTTTTTAGGCAATTAGTCGAACATATCATAGTCTTTAAATTTTGAATGTTCTGGATTAGCTTACAATAAAGTGAAACATGGTTCTGTATATATTTAAAATTTGTTGATACAGAAATATATTTATACGGATAAGAAACTCCAGTTTTTAACTGATTGGGAAATCGTATGCAATTCAAAGAATTTGTTAATATATTTCTTTATTGAACATCATGGAAACGTTTTCTGAGGATTGGATTTATTGTTTATCTTTAGCAGTTTTTAATGCTCCTAAATAATCGACACATTTTTCAAACTGTTTTCTTCACTGGTAAATGTGGAAGCATAAGTGCTCCCAGCTTTTCAATGGTTGTCCGACATGTTTCGGTTCGTGATCTCAATAAAATTCAACAATCTCCGCAACCCCCATATTGTTATTTTCTCACTTGTACAAATCAATCCTTCGGTAATTCCATAGAAATTATCTAAAGTGCATTTTAGGATTTGTAACGGATTCTTAGTGTCGCGTGATGTAGACTTTTCTTTTTCAAACTATACTATATAGTTTTGTTTTTGACTTATAATATGTATTTGATTCTATCGTATTTATTCACACGAAATTATAAATTAGTCATATCACTGTTTAAGATTCACTTCGAGATTTTTCCGAAATTCGGTATGCTTTTATTATGAGCTTGTAAGAGTAAGAAGCATTCACCGAAATTAGAATGTTGAGACGTGAGGGAAGGATCTCAGACGTTAGTTGCTACAATTCTATATATTTAAGGGATTCGTTTGACATCCAACAGTATAAACTGCTTTGTTGTCTACATGATTGGTGAAGTGGTGGCTTATTGGTTCAATTTTCGGCAAATAATTTCCAGATTCGAAATCTTCCCAGTCTATTTCGGTTTGGGCATCTGGGTATTATCATTAACCTTCACATAGTGTGGCTCATATTCAAGTACCTGGAGAAGGTAATTCAATTAACTTTAACTACACGACCATCGATAGTAAGGTGACTGGTTTTTTATGGATTTATCCGGCCTAACTCAAATATTCCAACGCTGTCCGACGACGAAAATGCTAATTTTATAGCTTCAAAGTACCCACTTTAATTAAATATAATAATGAATAATATAATACAGTAAATTCAAATGACTATATATCCCTAAAGGTTTAGGAAAGTGAGAGAAGGTTAACGACATTTATACGATAGATTCATTGCCATGAATGTATTTTTGCATATTAAAATTTCTATTAAAATAAATCTCACATTTAGTAAGATGAACTGTGATACAATACAGAAAGAGTTGTCACCATAATTTCATGTCAGCTTGTTAGAAAAAAAGTATTAAGAAGCCATTTTATAGTTTGTAACTCCTCAGCAGTGTGTACTCATAAGACATAGAATAGACGGCTTTCTTGATTTTCGATATGAAGGATAAGTTCAGATCATTGATTTGAAATTCACTAGATCATCATTCATTTTACGAATAAAAGTGACTGAGTCATTCACAAAATAGCGAAGCTAAATGACTGAGTATCTACCATTACTCTATACTTTTAATAATAGACTCTAATCCTAACAACTTATCACCTCATACTACCTATAAACATACAAAAATACGATTAGTATCAAATTCTTATTGGACCACTGATTTATTTGTTTGTTAATTTTTGAACTATGAGGCTGTACATTAAAGAGAGAAAAAAAGCTAAATAAACAATGTCTAAATGCGAAAGATGTTTTATTTATTTTGTTTTTTAAAAGGAAACTATGATCACTCTTTGTCAATTACGTTTATTCATTTATATGTTTCTGAAACAATGGACCTGATGAGAATAGAGTCTATATTAGTAATAATAATAATAACCACAATATCATTTTAAGTTGATTTATGTTATACATTTTTTAAATATTTATATATGTATCATTAAACAATAGTCTCCTTTTCAAATGAAACTTTATCAACATTGATTAATTTCCATTGAAACTATAAATATACAGTTGAAATCAGATCTCAGCAGTAAACAATAAATTTATGAAAAAGAAGTATGTAAACTTGTGAGGGTACAGTAATACAAATTGATAGTAATTCAAGATAAGAGAAAATATCTATAATTGAAAGGTTAATTAGTATTATTCAGTAGGAAAAAAGTAACAAACAAATTGGCGCCAATTTTTAGTATATTATCCACTTCATGTAAGAAATATATATATAACTGTTTGAGATAAAAAATACCAGAGGCCTCAATATTTTAGGTTAGATTCTTCCACCAGAGTATATCTTTAGTAATCAAATAATTATAATACTGTTATTGATCACAAACTTCATGTTTTATATAGAAAGAAAAAAAATTTTATGTACGTACAATAAGATAGAAACAGCGATTTCTCTAATATGTCAAAAAAATGCTCTGTTACTGAAATCTGATTGAATATTTGTGTTGATAATTATAATTGCTATTAACAGGATTGATCATATTTGTAAGGAAATTTATAAATAATGAAATAGTGTTGGTCGTCATCATAAATGATGGAAGATCACGTAAAAAAAGTAACAATTTACTTAGTTTAACTTCTTTTCTAATCAATACAGAGAGATCTTAAAGGTGTATGTTTGTGCGCAATTTGTTAGTTTCAGTCGAAAAGCATGGGTTCTATTTAAATTATACATTTGATATTATGATTCTATCATTGCTTAAATTTAGAGAATTTTAAAAAAAATTAACTGATAGGATGACTGAAATGTTGAAAGATGTTAATCATTTATATCTATCTGATGAATTATGTATAGTTGGAGGGAATTTATCTTGGTTTTTAAGTTGTCTGAAGAATGATTCATGTTTATAAGGCAAGGATGCTCAGAATTGGTTATCATTCTTGCTCTCATACCTAAAGGAGAAACAGGACGTGGTGAATATGATGATTGAATATTTGGATGTAATGATTGTCTACTACATGAATGTTGTTGTTGATGTTGATTTTCTGAGTAACGTGGATCGCCTCGTGGGAAAACTGATGGAGAAGAACTAGCAGTTAAAAGACTTCGTGTAGAACTGGCTGTTGGGACATGTATTGATGATGACGATTGTGAAAGATAATCAAAAGATGATTTCGGTTGTAAGTTCAAGTTTATCATATTATTACTTGAACGGTTGGAATTATTACTTAGTTGAGTGCGTAGACTAATCAGTTGGTGAACTCTACTAAGTGCCATGTGGTAATCGGTTAGTAGTTGTCTTCCATACTGGAAAAAAATATAGTGATATATACATACATATGAATATCACACCAAAACATCGTAGATTAAAAGTTGGACGAATATATGACTAGATTTATTACTGAAAGCGCCTTAATTAATATTAGTCATTTCGTACGAACATATAGTTGTGCTTATCTGTTTATTACACTGCTCCTATACATTCGAGTTCTCGAATTGGTTACTTCATGGTAATCACTATCGTGTTATCAAGATTTTAGTATCGATCAAATTTGTCATGTGATCGCTAATCTAAGGGAGTAGAAAGTCATAGTATTTTTGTTATCATTTATAATGAGAGCTTAATGGAAAGTTGAGATTTATCATGGGCTGAAATCAACTGGAGTAATTGATGGCGATGGACCTAAAGTCCCGAGCCTCGATGTCGATCGATGGTGTTCATTGCTGGTATTCTGTACTGAGAGAAAATAGCTGTCTAGGGTTTCTTGATTTTCAGTGGTGCTACAACTGATGTTAGTCCATGTATTATACTAATTTCAAGCACAACAATCTCCACAAATCACTGTCCTAATGAAGTATAGTTTTCATAATGTCTCAATTTGCTGCTGAAAATCAAATAAACTTGAAAGAGAAAATGCTGATAAAAACAACTTTTGATGAGGATTTAGGAAAACCGACTGATTTAGTCATAAAGTAACAAATTCACTTTTCATTAGTTTTTTTAATTCATCTACGAACCCACTTACTTTAGCAACACGTAGCCGACTAACCCAATGACGTAATGCTTTCTCATCTGTTGCACAGAAGCAAAACACATGTGTAGAAGAAGGATCTTGTGCAGAATAGGGCTGAAATAGGAAAAATTTACACAATATTAAACAATTTCGTTTGCCATGAATTAAAACAGCAGTCACATTGTTGACAATTAACCCTTAGAGATTATAAGCATTTACTTATATGACTAAAGCGAATCATGATAAATAATTACATTTGATGATCAGTTGAATTATTAGTCGCTTGTTAAAAAAGATTTAGATTTCCTGAAATGCTATCATATTTATATTATTTGTGTAAATTCGTTACCGTAATATTGAGAGAATTGACGCCCCCTGAAGAATTCAATCACGTGTCACTCAGCGTCATAGAATTAGGTGTTGCTTAAGTCTCCTAACATCGTAGCATAGTAGGGGTGATACCGAGTTACTTAGACTAGTTGCCACAGCGCAACTTGGTCACTATTTGTTCGCCACCCAAAGGTAAAACAAACATTATTGATCACTACTCATTGGTCATATATATACAACTGAATTCAAACAAGCATGTTACAGTATTTCTCTATAATAGCCTGTTAATGAAGCAACGTTTGACCTTTTTGACTGCCGCTCATAATCTCATTTCTATTAAAAGAACTTAATTATATTTAAAACTATCATTAACGTTAGCAGACCAGTTATCTATCGTGACTTGCCGTAAAAATAAGAGCAGTTCTACACAAAAAGTCAACAATTTAGTTATGTAAAATGATTTATTTTTGGTTAACAAAAATAGAATAAATATATCCAAGTCATCATACCGATAGGTCATGTACTAAAGAAATAAAACAAACTAAATTAGAATTCTCACCTTGAAGGCGAAACCGTGCGGAGTAGGTGCACGCATCCGTGACCAACCTCCTGTAGTTGTATAAAGTTTTAAAGGTCCATCCAAAACCAGAATACGAATAAGATCTGTAGACTGTTATTTAAAGATGCAAATAAAATAATATATATGTACGATGTTAGTGAATAAAGCTGAATGGACGGTTATATCATGATTGGATTACTAGCAAAACCTGAATGTGAATTCAAATGTTTGACATCTATGTGAATGTAAATTAGTTACCTACATACACTGGTAATGAAAATGTTTTCAGTGAATAACAGAATTTACATCGGAGTGTGTTGGAATGTTTAACATTGTCAGAAGAATCCCCTTGGCCTATGATCTATGTTAGTTGGTATATATATGATATAGTTATATTAACTATCTCATAGGATATAATACTCGTAGTGGAATATAGAATTCATGTCATTCAGTTTCACAGTCACAGACGTTGTCAAGGAATTATTCGTTATTAGAAAATAACTAAACTTTTTCATTCAAGATTGTATATGTTTTTTCTTAGAAATTAGTGAAAATTTATACTAACTGGTCTCAATAACAGTGAGTGTTCAAGAAAATTAGAGTTAATAAAACTATTATTCAGTATTTATAATAACGGAAGTATGAATAATACTTTGGTAATGAACAATATAATCTTAATTGTAATCCGAATGCTTGTGATAGCATAATACATTGATCAAATCATCAATCACTATGTCCCTGTTATTAATGGTAAATAAATAAAATGAAATAATTTCGTTTGATTCCTGCTTCATAGCCTAAAAATATCTTGCATGATAACCAGAATTGAATTCACTTGTTTGTTTCTTAAGTTATGAAACAAATATGTTTACAGAATCACAAACTGATAGTCGAGAAACAATCTACCCAATATTCAATTTATCTGACATTATAAAGTCAAATTTTGGTAATGACACCTACAATGAGTATATTACTTTGTTTCATATGTTAACATTTATTACTAATGTATTACATCGATGACACTATCCATATTGAAACTGTTATTGTTTTGACTTTTTGCCATACATCTTGTTAATCTCATATTAATTTTCTGATACGTTGTACTACCTTAAAGTGATCTACATTTATGCCAGATTTTATATTGATATTTATCTGCTAACTGTATAGATAGTGTCTATTAGCCGTATGTTTCAGAGTTACACCTTAAACATATGAGATGTTCAGTCAATATGGAGATACATTCTTATTATGTTCTATTAGTTAAAAAAATTGACAAAATATTTAGAACATTCATAATCTGTACTTACTGAGAAAGACTTTTTATTCTTATTTGAAGTGTACAAACCGGAACTTCTTAAAACACATAAACGACGTGACCATGATTTATCACCAGGTTTACGTATAAACAAATAATCACGCCATTCTGGAAAACCACTGGTATCAATATTATTCAACATTGTCTAACAAAAAATATATAAAAACATCAATAAAATAGTTAAAAATAATCTTTGATATCAATTTCCTGCTAATAATCGTTTGAAATGTTAGATCGGATGTTTTGACAAAAAGGTTAATCATCATTTGGTTTTTGTTTATATCACTAGCTAAAGTCGCGTTAGTTAAAAAAAACGGTAGACTTGATTGTAATATCATTGGAAAAGTATATATATACGCTGTCAGTTTCTAATTTCGATTACTAGACTGTCCTAATCTTACACTTCTGTTATCAATGACTACTATGGATTACTTTTGTAATTAAATGTAAATACATTCGATGCGCTTACGGAATCGTCGGGTCACTTTTTCTCCTGTTCTTCTCATTTTCAGCTTTTCTTATTCACGCTGCTCTCTATGCTGATTCAGCACCCAAAGTAATTCGATGCTACACATTAACCGTTACAATAGTCAATTACATAGATTAATAACAAACATAGTGATAACACAAAGTAAAGCACTTGAATGAATCTGTTCAAGAAATACTTTGATAGTAACTATCAAGAACTTTAAGGTAACTGGCATCAATCTTTCCATATTTTCGAATCAATTTTTGTAGGTAATCAAAACGAATAATTAGTTTAAAACTGCTTTCGAACTATCAAGAGGATAAGAAAAGTAGTATAAAATACCCACTTTTTTAGTAAAATGAGGTTATAAACTATACAGCCTTTGATAGTGGAACAAAATAAAAACTCTAGAGTTTAGTGTACGTGAATAAATGTCAACAGACCAACAAATTTTACTAATCTCCATAATCCATTTGTAGAAACAATAAACAGATTTCGAATAGTGACTGACGGTGTTATCTATTACTAAAGTTTTGTAAAGAAATGATGACTGTAGAAGTTCAACCGTGCATACAGAGTGAGTCAGTTACCCAACTATAACCCTAGATAACTGTCATACGCTATTGAGAATAATGAGAAACTGTGGATCAATGAGTCCTAAGTTCTTGCTCGAAAATTAAGTACTTGATATAAAACCCCAATGTTCAATGGCTAATCTCTGACGAGTTTATAAATGAACTGTTGTGCAACCTCATATCGAGAACACCTATCAAGTACTCCTTGGATATCAAAGATTCTGTAACTGATCTAAGCCCAGGATAAAAACCATTTCGAAGTATAATATATTCAGTTTCTTTTATTTATTATTCACTCAGTACCTATGCTTTACTAATAGCAAAATTAAAATTCCTAACATTTAACTCACATTTCAGTGTTTAGCAATTGTTATCAATTTTTACTTTACCAGACAAAAGAAATTAAGAACTAATACGACTTTTATTTAGTCATGGTAAGATCGTTTGGGAGATGATTTTTCTTAAGCAACCTACAATCACTTAACTAATCCAACAGTCGATTAGTGTAGAGGGATCATTTTGTGCTGACCTAGAAACAATTGTCACTAGATTGTCAAAGTTAAGTTCCCAGTATATCTTATGTTTTGGCTTTAAAATTATATATTACTGTTTCACGACCTCATAGATAATAATAATTTATCGATATATATATATGATACAGCTAAAAAATTTTCAGAATATAGACTAAATTTTCATTCTAGTTTCTGTCTTTGTTTATACTAGGTTAAAAAAGCCAATCGATTATACTCGTTTGTCTATGAATTCGGTTTTTGCACAGAGATATGGCAAACTAAACACTTACTTGAATAGCTTCTGCACTATGAAAAGCTTGTTTTGTAGTGGTTTCTTCACCAATCCAATACTTGATAAAGGAAGAAAAAGAGAAAGAAAATATTTTTTTAAAAACACGACACAAGTAACCTAGATTACTGTCAAAAATATCATACAAACAACTGTGTTCTAGTTAAGAGTGAAAAAATAATGTAAATTTAACTTCATACAATCTGATAGTTATTTGAAGTAATATGAGACTTGTGAGAGAAGAATAAAAGGTAAACTGATTAGTCAAGTTAGAAAAATGCAAGTAACTCAATACTATGAAATATTTAGCCCTATAACAAGAAGAACCTCAACACGTATACGTTGATAAAAATTAAAATATGGAGCTAAGGTCGGTGAAGATTTTTACAAAAATAGTCGTAAATGATTAAATATTTTTATTTTAGTTTAGTACCACTAATTAACCAAACAGAAATTTTTATGCTTGAGTTTGAGAAATACCTTGTCTAGTGTAAATGTTAATGACAGTCGAGACAAAAGTCGATAGATAAAGACTTAAAACTTCAAATTATTGGTAACAAACAAACGGAACTTTGAATTAATTTAGTGATATTTTCTATGTATATAAGAATGTTGAATAATTACTAAATACACTTTCCTTGTCTATAAACTCAATACTTATTCTGGTTCATATGAAATATGATTTAGCTTAAGGAACCTAGGAATATCAGAATGTAAATAATACAGATGTGAAATGCTTCCAATGCATTTTTAAACTGTATATAATTCATCGTCACAACTATTATATCATCATCCCAAAAAAAATTTTATGGACTCTAATTAGAATAACTATTCGTTAATATACTCATTGATAGCAATAGTAATCAATTAACCCTACTGTCAAAATGTCCATACTTATTGTATTTCTCATATTGATTAGTACTAATAGCAACAGATAACTAAATAATCTATTGACAAGATTCTTATTGCGAGATTTCAAGATACTACGTTTAACTCCATATAAATTCGTAGTGGTGCACTATTGAATGATCTCAACTACGGATAAATAGCTATATATTACACTCTAGTTTGTAATAGTTCACTTGTTAATATATCGAAGAAAACACTTAAATAAGCACTGTTTATACAGGTTACTAGGCAGTTTAAATAGTAGGAGTTGAGTAAAGAAATCTCTTCATCATGTCTTTATAATATTTCATAAAATTTACTGGTATTTGTAGAAAATAAATCATATAATGAAAATTTCCATTCCCCAAGATCCTGTCATCTTTTCTCAGAAATACATCAATGTGTTCGTTATAAGTGGATATTTTTCTTAGTAGAAACAATCAATGAACAGAATAAAAAAGTAAACAGACAATCAGAATTCGACTGTCACTACAAAGATGATATTTTAAGATTATATAAATTCGAATAAGATGAATAAATCACCCATCAATAAAGGTTTGTCTTTAGAAAAAGAACAAATCGGTAGTATTGTTTTATATTAAAGAAGTCGATTGATTGAAACGTTAAAACACGGTAAAATAACACTACATGAACATTGAAGTAATTTTTAAAGATCTGTTTCTGCTATGTATTTAATAATATATCTGTTCTAAATAAATCATATTCAGAATATTAGATGATTCTGAATACTTTTGATGGTGTGATTTAGAGTTAACGAATATTGTATTCGTAATTCTATTGATCAGTTAGTATTTATTGAGTTGATGATACTAGGAAATAACCAAAATTTGCAGTCGATCATCAGTAGGATCATAAACAGAATAATTCGACCTCTTAGTAAGTCATAGTCGTGATCTAACAAATTTTCAGATACCAATCTAAAATATGAACAACCCTGTTCTGTTCAGTTTATACGTAAATAATGATTTTTGATTTGATTATATTTCTGACTGATGATTATTGAACAGATTTTATAGATACTGGGTTTTCTAATAACTGACCTATAGTTATTTCAGTTACGAGTTGTTATGACATGACACACAATTTACCAGTCAGTAAAAAAAAGCAAATTGAACAAGACATGAATAGATGGATGTAAAAATTGGAAATTGTATAAACCGTCTACAACGATGTATGGAAATAGTTGCCTAGATTACAATATTTATAAAGTTGGATAGTTGTAAATATAAATTGTGTTAATTAATTCACAATGATTTTTTTTCACATATTCCCTTTATTGAACTATATTGCAGTTTTCCAACCCAACTACTGGTATTAAATGATTGGTGAAAGCTCTGAATCTAGTTTTTACACTAATTTGGAACTTGTCAACAAAGTGTATGTGAATTCAAAAGGAAGCGGATGGTTCATTTTAGATTCACACTTACGTACAGTTACATTTTACATTGGATCCAACATTATCGACTTTTTTTACCTCTTTAAGTTTTTTATAACCCGAACTATCTTTTTGTCTAAATTCAACAGTTGATGTCATGATCAACTGAAACTTCATATATATAGAAAGTATTATGTTTCGAATTTACATTATTACTTCACGAAAGTTTTAATATAAAAGGTTTTGTATGGTATAATCATGGATAAACTAGTCAGATAATTTACATTCATAATAACCTTGTAAATGTAGCATAAAATAAAATGATCATCTAAATAGTTTACAATATTAGAAACATGCAGATACATTTTTTGATTATTGATATCTATGTATCGATAATCAATAAGTTAATGGATTTTAGAGTTCAGTTCACTGTATGAATGTTTATAAATACAACTTTGTTGTTTTGTTTTACATGTTTATTGATAGAATGTATTGTATGACCATCAGTTATATCCAGAGTAATAGGGACAATATAAATTTTTATTCAGCTCTAATTACCAAATTATGTTAAAATATTATTTTATTAACGTTGAATTCTATTGTGAAAGGGTTGGGGAAATCCAGAAAACTAATCAAAAAAAAAGCCGACAAAGGCTGTAGAAATGCTGAGAAGCATCTTATTCAACCAGCATTCAATGGAAGTTTTGACGGAAACATCTAGAAGTTGAATAGTCACATGTCGAGTTTCCGATTGGATGATTACCTATACTGCTATTATGTTTAGTGGCGCTCCAGAATTTTCTGGAAACCCAGGACCATCTAAAACACCATAAAAACCGTAGATTTTTTGTACGCAAACGAACCTTTGGAGTAAGGAGTTTCTTCTATATTTCGCGCCTTTTCTCTCGTGTTCAAGTTGCTGTGCAGAATCTAGCCTGGGGGTTACTATAAGTGCTTAGGAATCGAATCTAGAGTTCAATTAAAAGACTTATCAGAATCTTCAAAGTTTTTATTTTTTTTATGTTGATACTTAGAACTGTATTTGGTTAATTTCTGCGTCTATACTCATTTGCAGATGTATGACGAGTTTTGGGTAAGATAAAAAGCAAATATAACGTAAATTCTACTGCTAACCACCTTCACGAGTATAACTAACCTTGCCAAATGAAATCTCGTTTAGTATTCGATTGAAATGATTTAAATCTAAGTATTTTAGATTCTCATCATAAGAATCATTTGAATAATCAGAGTGTTAAACTGTCTGTACATTGTTTCTATGTTTATAAGGTTACCTGTGTACTATTAAAGATGGAAACAACTGGTCTAGCTCTTGCTTATTTTAATTATAAATCAACGGTGGATAATACCATGCGATTTCATGTACTGAATGAAGTGAATACTTAAGTCAGGGGTTGTAATTTGATGATTTAGATTAACGATATACAGATCATCCTTAGATGTAGAAGCATATGTGAAGAGAAAGATAATTTATTTTGTATTTAATCTTATTTGTATAATCTAAATCTTTCATAAATATACAAATCTAAAAGCTGACTCACAGTTCTAAACATGTAACTGAAATCAATGTCTTTACCTGATGATTTGAATTTCAGTTTTGATTAAACCAATTAACAATCAAGACTAAGTAGGTAATGGAGAAAGTAAAATGTGAACCTAAAGCTTTTTGCGCAATCTACAAGGTCTCGACAGTTCACTATGTATCGCTCACTGCTCGAATTCTGGGTAATTATGCATCTGAAGACTGAATTGTCATTAGGATTTCATGAAATCCTTTGTTTTGGTCATATTAGATCGCAGCATGATAGAAATGAAAATGTGAATTTATTACAGTTTAAGTTAATATTACTTCAAAACATACATCTGGTGATTCAACAAGACCAAAGTGATCCGGTCGTTCTTCAAAGAAGATCATATTTTGACTTTTTGTTGGCCAAGACAAAATACAATCAGACACAATGTCATGTTCTTCAAATACTCGTTCTACAAGAATAAACGATAAAACAAAGCAAAAGACACATCATAAAAATATGTTATAGTTGGTTTTAATTGTTAAAATATGGAAGTTGTATAAGCGTAAACTTTCACAAGAAAAACTTGTGTCAGTATTAGAAATACATTCTTTCCTATGAACATTATTTCATGACTGATTGGATCAGTATTATAACAACTTAGACAAAAACTAGATTAGAGAGGATATAAGAAATTGTAAAGTGTATTCATTCGAAATCAAGGGTGAGAAATAAACGTGTATAAGTCAAATACTGTTGTCATATTATCCTGAAATTATTCTTAGATTACTATCCCTTGAAATTAAATATTGCAATGAAAGTGATGTTCATATCACTAGTTAGGATGAATAAATTATAAGATACTGTTAACTTTAGGCAAATGGTAGAAAAAACCCTTTATCGATTACACTGTAACAACATTTATCGATGATAATGGTTAACTATATGATAATGAAGACTTATTTAATCTTATCTAAGAGTTTTTCAATTATATTTACTGAAACTCCAATAAGTTTAGATTTCTGCTTAAAACACTAGTTCAATAGGATTAACGTTTTAGTACCAAATTACTTAATCACAAACTTAGTAGATTAGAATATAGCTTCTATAGTTATATCTATAAATCTAAATAAAATCTGATGTGACAGAAAATGTTTCCGTCAGTAGGTGATATCAAAAAGGTATTTTAACGCAGCTGTTATCATTCATTAATAAAAGAATACTCAAAACAAACTAGCTGGCCAATGGCTTCTAGGTTCCCAGTAGTTGTTAAACTTAGATCCATTCGTGCTTTCAATAATATAGAGAATGAGAATAGATGTGTGTCTTCTATGGTTTGGTAATATATATTTTATTTAGAGAGTTATATAGACAATTGAATTTTATAGTTTTACACTACTGACTAATCTTGGTAAGTCAACTATCGGAAACCGGAGTGAATTGAACGGTTGTTTCATCCACTTTTATCAATCGTTCAAAATGTCACCTGGAATCGAATTTAGACATTTGAATCCTTGTGGAGAGTACTGATATTCAAATGGTTGAGTTCTAATCCAATGGTTTGCATTCACAATTTCAGTCGATTAACGACATTACGTGACTCTTATCCATCGGTATAGATGATATTTTCTCAAGCTATACATGGATGATGTAAGTGTACAAACGCATGTTGATGCATCAAGGAAATATGAAACAAGTTCTAATCTATTGATAATCTCCCAACTGTTACATAAATTTTTATTTTGAAAACTATGCAAACTACAACAGACTGTAAATATGTTAAGTTAAATAAACTAAGTAGAAAGTGAAATAAACTAATAGTATCACATTATTGTACATTACGAAATAGAAATCAGAATTAAGTGTGATAATGAAAATAATGATCGAAATTCAATAAGATTGTTTTATTTTACCTATTTTTAAAGCTGGAACTTTTTCTACCAAAGCTAAATGTACTGAAGGTTGTAAAAAATTCTTTTCAATCATCATAGTAGCCACTTCACCAGCGGTCATTTGATGTTCAATTAATATTGCTTTAGTTGTTCTATCCGGACGAAATACACGTACTACTAACTAAAAAAAATTTTTGAAAAGAAAATCTAATGAATGAAAATTAAGAAAGTGAAGAAATAATGAAAATGTCTATGTGAAAATATAATTAAAATTGGGATATAGATAATTGAGGTAAGGAAATAATCATTGATATTTTACTTAATTGATTTAATTAACCCACCTTTAGCAAATATAATAATGGAATTTATGAGTGAAACACTAAAAAATATTAGAACAATCGTCCATTAGTTTGTGTAGTGAACGCGAACTCAGATGGGGAAGACCAATTTACTGTTGAATGTAAAATTACAGAGTGCTTTCACAAAATATGAAAATCATACATTACATACATAATTTGCACATCTTCCATCATTTATTTTTTACATGTTTCATGATTTTTTCAATTCTGTTGTTATTACGATTACTTTCTGTGCTCTTCAATTAAATCTAATCAATCTTTTACTGACATGCATTCCACTTCCGATTTGTGCTATATACTACTTATATCTGTCAACATAAGTAACATACACCACAGATATATGAATATTTTCGTAGATATACTATTTATTATTTCATGACATAATCTGATGAATACAACTGAACGATGATTATTTACTTAGACCAAATTGTTGATACCTAGTATACCAACTAAACAACTGGTAAGTGAAATATTTTTTTCTGACACGAGTCAACATGAATAACAAACATTTTAAACAAACAAATTGGGTTATGTAGGTCGCTCAAAAGAAGTTGAAATCAGCGACTGACCACCAAAGTTAATTCATGCGCAGAATCGATAAGATGTTAAAAATTGTAGTGGTTTCTATCTTAAGCTACCTTATTTTTGAATTATTTTCCCAATTATTGTTAGCCTACATTGATCAATAGTTAGTTAGTGTTTTATTCAAAAAAGCCTAATATTCGAATATTTCGGTGAAAGTCAGGAAACCTCACTTAAATTATCAGTATAGGGTTGTGGAGATTGTTGGGTCTTAATTGAGAACATGAACCAATCAATATTAGACCAAGCGTGAACGAAGGTCTTGAGTTCGATTCCAGGGTGTGCTCACTTCTAAGGAGTCCCATGCTAGGACGAAATGGCCATCCAGTGCCTCCAGGTTTTCGATGGTGGTCTAATATTGATCGGTTTACAATCTCAGTTTAAATTTCACTTAAATTAATGAAAAAGCTGATTATTTATTGTTCCAGAACTCTATAGATGAAGACTAAAAACGCTCAGTTTACGTTAAGCTAACTGGGCGAATCCTTACTTGACTAAATTACTTTACTCAGTCATTACCGGTTAAAGAAGACTTCAAAATGTCAAAACTTTACATCAGTAGATCAGTAGGAACTTAACAGTAGTTGAAATTACGATGGGAATAATAGTATTAGATTAAACTTGGATAATATGACTTGAAAAATGAATGAAGTTGAAAAGTGAGAAATATGAAATAATATTCGAATTAAAAATTTGAAATAATATATGTATGGATAGTATCGATAGTGATGGTATTCATTTTGAGCGATATCATTCAATGTATTCAACTATAAATTAAGGTTGTTTGATGAAGCTAGTCGATTTCAAGTTAAATCAACTTTGACTTTTGAACTAAATTTATTTTACCAGATGAAGAATTAGTTTTATACTTAAGTATTCTTTTCCGATGAAAAAATTTGTTCATTGATATGAATAATGTTGAATCATTTAATTGTGAAGTGATAAAATGTAACAGAATAGTTTAAATGACTGGTTGTGTAGTGAACAGAACACGGGTGGGGGCAACCGAATGTATTTGACACAAAACTACAGTACTTGTTAATAAAATCTAACAATCATAAAGTAAATGCTTAATTTGCAAAATGACTCAGATTTCATTGTTCTTGTATTTTCATACAAATTGCATTCTGTTTCCATTCTTTATTATTCGGTCCTCTTGTCTCTCTGCTACCAGACCTTCTGTTCACGACTAACATCATATACTACTTATGCCAATATAAGCAGCACACACCACACTCATCCCCCCTTTAAAGCAGTCGTTCTTGCGGTGGTTCATGCTCGCTGTGCCACATTCTTCGTTTCTGCAGTCTGTGATACGCTCTCCGGCGCGCTGACCTCCGTAGCTCCGTCGACCTGCCGGGGCAACATCATCCGACATTCACCCCGTACCTTGGACGCACAACACCCGTGCCCCACTGTTCTGCTAAGCCATCTACATCCGATATCCGCCCAGCAGACGAACAACCCTCCGCTCCTCTCCGCCGACAGCACCCGCTACAGGCAACGCCGCACCACCAGAACACTCCACTCGAGGCCACTCTTCCGCACCAGACTGCCACAACTAGCACATCAGCTCCAGGCCCACAACGGCGTCCGCAGGACAGTACCCTCCCCCTCCTGGTTGGCAGCGACACCAAATGTAGTGAACAAGAACACCAGTAGGAAAAATCGTATTCAACACAAAATTACAGGACTTGTTAATAAAATCTAACAATCATAAAGTAAATGCTTAATTCGCAAAATGTCCATCAATTGTCTCATAATGGCTCAGAATTCATTGTTCTTGCATTTTCATACAATTGCATTCTGTTTCCATTCTTCATTGTTCGATCCTCTTGTCTCTCTGCTGCCAGACCTTCTGTTCACGACTAGTATCACATACTACTTATGTTGATATAAGTAGCACACACCACAGTAGCAGCAACAATTTCAACAACTAACATTATAATCAAATTTAGTGACCATAGTAATAACTGAAGACTAAATAACTCAATTACATCATCAAAGAGCTAGTCAAAACTTTATGAATACAATACAACTATTTAATAAATGATATTGAATGGTACAAATTTCAATCACAATCATAAATATCAATTTTCACTGATCATGTATTTATCATATTATTGATAAATGTTTGATCACTCTATAGTATGATCAATAAAACAATAATAACAAAAAATTGTAATAATTTTTGAAGGAAACACCTTTTAAAAGTACCTAGTTACATTAATTTGTTGTTGTCGAAAAGAAAAATAATAAACATTCATATCAGATTATATTTGTATTCACGCTATTCTGTTTGAAAAAAAAAATAACACTCATCGGAGACGAATTAGAAGGAGACAAAACAAATGAAATATTATCCAAACAAAATATTTTATTTTTTGCTAGAATGAATTGAAGTGAAATTGGTTATTTTAAATTTTCGAAGGGGAAATTTAAGGTTTTGTATATGTGTTAAATGAAATTGGTGTATATGTGTACATTTGCATTTTTAAATGGATGACTATGTGTATGACAAATTTTTATTTAGGAACAATAAACTTGTCTATTATATATCATCAGTTTATCTTAAATAGTATACATTCACATAAAACTATTTAGTTTCCCTATTATGCTAACAATGCACTAGTACGTTATTCTCTATGCTCTCTATCTCATCTACTACCTACCGTTTGATTTTTAATGCATAGATTTAGCTATATAGACTTGTACAAATGTTAACATACATATGAACTTCTGTATATTGACTTCAAAGTTTCACATCACGAACTGAATAGGATTATACAACCACTAGAAACGAGGAAGCATTCATAATTGATTGATCACTGGGTGGTGATCAATGTCATGCGTGTCAAGTCCTTATTTAGTGCAGATCGAATGCTATCGACTATGATACAATGTGGCCACCAGTCTAGGTGACTCGATAGTGCGTGCACTATATATTGAGATTAGATGGTACACCTTGCTGACGAGTGCAAAGTGGCACGAAACCCGGGTCCAGGGGTTCCTGTAGACTACCTCCAACCACCAACTAGGAAGCATTGGACTTCTATTTCATTTTGCTGTCGGACTTCCCATCAATAAACATTCATAACCCCGCTGGGAATCGAAAGCAAAATCTACAAGTATCACTATGTACTTTAACATCTAGACCACTGCATCGACGTTATTGTAACACCACCATCAATTTACATTGGTTATATTTTCCTTACTCCAGACAAGATTAATTTCCACCGGTCACGACTTCTCACTAGAATTTTATAATTTATATTGCAAAAAGTAATCCCCGGAGTTTTAGCAAGAATTTGTAACCAGAGGAGTTCAACCATGTTGACAAGCGAATAGTTGTAGTATTCAGAAGATATAAAGTGGTAATTAATCCAGAAGTTTTGGCAAAAAGTTGTTGAAAGATCGGTAATTTCTCTGTGCACAGATAATCCTGAAAAACTGGGGGGAGGGGAGGTAGAAAACTGCTTATTCTGGTTATAGTTAGCCCATATTGTAAACTATCTTCAAACTGAACAATTTATGGCTTCGCAAAATCAATCAGAATAAAATCTTCTAATAAATTCATTTCCATGACTTAGAACATGTACAATAAATTACTATTTTCAGAAGGGGTTTTGTGGAGATTTTTAGAAATTTCACTGATTGAAATCATGAGCCACTTGAAGCTAGACCACCGTGGAAAACCTGGAAGCACTGGAAGGCCGTTTCGTCGTAGTATGGGACTCCTCAGCAGCGCGCACCCACGATCCCGCACCCTGTGAGATTCGAACCCAGGACCTGTCAGTCTCGCTCTAGGCACTTAACCAACTAGACCACTGATCCGGCATCCAACGGTGTTAATTTCTAACTTCAACCAATCCATGAAGTTGCGCCACCGTACACCATTGTCTTCAGTGAGTTACTATCTCACAACAGACTTGGTTGAACTCCACTGGTAACGGATTCTCACTAGAACTCCAGGAGTATCTCTTCAAGAGTCCCATACTAAGACGAAACGGCCGTCCGGTGCTTGAAGGTTTTTCCATGGTGGTCTAGCTTCAATTGACTCATGATTTTAACCAGTGAAATTACTATTTATTTGATGTTTTCAAGGAAGGAAGCGCACCGTACTGTGATTTACGTAACTTTGTTATGTTTTCACTACAATGTCTTCTATTACATTTTAAATGTTTTCGAAATAAATCAAGCAGTCTTTTTAACGGTAAAAGTATCAGTTACCTCTACTACT